AAAAAAAACTTGTAGGTAGGAGCTGAAAATGAAAGGTTTTTTGTTTTTTTTTTAAAAGGGGATGAGAGTTACCAGTAGAGAGATTTTCAAGTACTTCAATAGTTATAAGTAGAGATTAGAGTCCCACATCTGAAAGAAAGTTGACAACTGATAAGGTGAAAGATACATAGGACACTGTTCAGTGGTACCTTTAAAGTGGAAAGAACTTAGGACTTTTAGTGAAAAGGATTAGGTTAGTTTTTTTTTTTTTAAGTGGAAAAATGGTTCTTAAGGTTTTGTTTTTGCAGAAAACACAGAAGTTGGTTCGTTCTGTCAGTTCTAACTTGCATGTAGATATTCAAGTTTATGAACTCCACTAGCAATGGTGTTCTTCATTGCCAGTGAGGAAATCCTTACCGTGGTGGTCAGTGTCTCAAAAGGAGACATTCCTGAGCACAGTTTATTTGGCTGTCCTGTTGACTTTTCCATAATCCTGGATGGATTTCCGTAGTCCTCTAGAAACATGGAACTCTGATGGTTTCTCGGAGGACCTGGTACTGGTGGGGAGGGGCAGGGCTGCGCTTGCGGTTCCCATCACTGAATTATTCAAAGGGTAGTTAGCTCTGGCAGAGCTTTCCGTAGGAGAAAAGAATTGTTCTTCAAAAATCCTAAAATGTTTCTGAGGTGAAATACGTAACATTTGCAATTGGAAGACTTAATTCCAAGGTTCTTAGGGTCTGATCTTTTAAAATTACCTTAATACGTCTCGTTCGAATCTGGCGTAGGCATACTTTTAAAGTTTATTTTGTGTTTATTGAGTCTATAATGTGTGCCAGGATGTTGACACATTGAGAGAGACTGGTGCGTGTGCACTTTTAAAACTAAAACATTTAAAAATTTTTTAGATGCGGGTGGGGGCTAGCGAGTGCCGGTTGCTGCGGGTCAGAGATTGGCGCTGAAGGGAGGCTTTTGGCTGTGCCTCTGCTGCCTGGGCTGTGACAGGACAGTGGCCCGGAGATGGCCTTCTCTTCTTTCTCTTTAAGAGTCCTAAGAGGTGGTTGGTGTCTTTCAAGTGCAGCTTGGATTTTGGGATAGGGCTATGTTAGGAGAAAAGGGGGAGCCCTGGGAGGGGCAGAGTGGGGGAATCTTGTGGATTGCATGCTTCCCGGGG